ATTATTATTATTATTATAACCTTGTGAAAAGAAAAAATTGTCTCTTCATCTCCGCATCGACCTTGCTTGTTAGTCACGCAATGCAAAATTTGGAATACCAATTTCCCTCTCCCCCTGTCTTAAGACGAAGAAACCAACAGGGTTGAACATTTGCAAGGCTTACAGTATGTGTATGTACCAGTCACATGCAATCTTGCAATACTCAGTTGACGTCGCCTTTTTCTAGCCTGAAAAGTGTCAAATTGTTTTACCCATACAGTGGTTTTAAGGAGGTAATTTTGTGGAGCACTTTGAAGATACAATATCTGTTTTCATTATCCAGCTAACAGATACTGATTATATTCAGGTGTTGCTTTGATATGATATAATTAAAAATTTTAAACTAATTTACATGAAAATATAAATCAGGTCAGAAGCTCATGACCTACAACATCATAGGCTTCTGAGCAGGCATATTGGATGATTTCTATTAGATTTTTAAAATCTTGTAAGTTGTTAAATGAAAAGGACTTAAGTTTTGTTTTGAGCTCATAAGAAATCAGCTAACTATGCTAGGGGAGGTCATTTGATATGGACAAGAAAATCAAACTTTTGTTCTCATTTCTTTTTTTTACAGGATATCGCCTGTTCAAACTTGTTTTGTTCCTTGTTGGATTTCTGGTGGTCTTTTGCTTCACTTATGTGTTGTGTCAAGAGTATCTCACTGAGAAACTGTCAGGAAAATCTTTTGAATATAGACATCAGGTATGTTTACAAATTTGTCGTGACCAGTTTTCATAACCAATCCCACTCATGCAGATGATTATACAATAATTTTACAATTTGTTATACCAGTTATCCTTTTTGAGCCCTGAAAGAGAGTTACTCTATAGCCAAGCTCTCTAATAATCTGTCTTTTGCAGATGCTTTTGCTGATTCCATGAATACCTTATCCAATCTCATCCTGTGCTTTAGTTCTGTTTTAGTGAGAGCTTGTGTTTTCTTTTCCTGAGAATCCTTGTTGTTGAGTGGCAAGTGAATCATAGCTAGTGGTTGTGTTTCTGGTCTCAAACTTATATTTGTAGCTGTTGGGTTTCTTAGTGGGCTTTGAAGCAATGATTGGCAGTAATGTTAAAGATACATAGACAACTGAAGGCTTATTGTTAAAATCAGAGTTGAGAGAGTAGAATTAAAACTGTAGTTTCATGTTGTAACAATTGTAGGTTTGGAATGAAAAAATGTTTACCTTCTTAGGGAGGTACAAAGAACCCTAAATTGAAAATGATCGGGATGTAGAAAGTAATAATATCAATAGGAAAGATGACAACAGGGTTTAGGAAAAGACACAAGGATTGCTGTTCTACAGAATGTTATTTTTTAGTATGATTGCAAGAGTTACCCAGTATTAATAGTTAAAAAAGTACAAGCAGTTTATTGATTTTATCAATGGAAGATGCTTGTTATTTTCTGTGTACTGGTAATTTAATTTTAAATTTTAAGGATGCTTGAGATTTTAGAAACTAATTAATAGAGATTCTCTCATATTGGTAACAGTTCAATTGGATCATGATTAATAGAGGGGACTATGCTTGGATTTAACCCTCCCATAAGTTCAAAATCTGATCATCTCATTCTTGTTGCAGATATTCCTTGGTATCTCTGCTGCAATTGGTCTTCTTGCTGGATTGCTGACAGTTTGTATTTTCTATGTTGGATTATTTGTTCTTGGTACGAGCTTGATCTTTCGATTTCAAAATTTTAAGTCAAATTTTTTTTAATGTTTATAATTGTGTTTACAGTACTTTGCTCTCATTTGTTCAGGTGCAACCATGGGATGGTTTGTTGGCCTGGCATTTCTCCCCCTTCTCTACAAGCATTCAGAGTACCTGTCTGAACACAACTGGCTGCCTTATGTCATTCTCTGTGCATTCGCCATTGTGGGAGGAATTCTTATTCTCTGTATACAGAAGGTAGACTTTGTCGCGAGATTTTTAAGATTACAACAATTTTCCAAGTTTTCCAGGTCGCTTTTTATTTTAGACAGTTATTGTATTTTAGATAGTTAAATGAACTCTGAGATCTTCTGTAAACTTAATTTGGCAAGGCAATGGTCTATTATGCATTGAATTATTGACACAAAGATTTGAAGATCACTTGGCATTGTCTGTGCCTCTCTCCGCTCAGGAGCAAAAGTGGGTAATGGTGGACTGTTAGGGGAGCCTGATGAAATGGTAAGAGATAGGGAGGGGGTAGCCTGCAATGGACCAGCACCCCATCAAGGGGTCATAGTAATACTCCTAGCCACTCCATGCTACAGAAACCAGAATGAGTACTGCCTGACAAGCCACTTGACTCAATTGCTAACTTGCATTTTATTGTTTTCTAAAGACACACATAAGTTATCAATCAATCAATTATGATTGTTATTGTGGTTTTTAGGTAATAATTGTCATCTCTACATCCTTTTCGGGAGCCTTTTGGTGTGTCAATGGCATTGATTACTATGTGGAAAATGGCAGAGTGCTGTATTACTCAGTCAGTGTTTTGTATGGTAAGTGAATGCTAAGTGTGAATGTAACTCATAATAAAGTCAGTGTTTTTCATGCACCTCCTCTTAGTGCTTGCACAACTAAACAGCAAAAATGGCTTTCCTAGTGGACTGTTGTTTCATTTTATGTTGAGGTTGTCTTTCAATTTTGTAGGTCATTACACAAAGTCTACCTTGCCTCACTGCTGGTATACCTGGCTGATTTTATGTCTTATCCCAGTCATGTTCATAGCTGGCTTGGTTGTGCAATTTTGTAAGACTTCAAAGAACAGTGATCATAGAGAAGGTAGGAATAACTGATTGATGAAAATTTATACAGGTGCGATTGTTTGTAGTGTTTATTATTAGTGTCAATATTGTATTTTTTGCAAGCCCCTTTTTGCTTGTGATTATGTCTTGGTTTTTTTGAAACAAAATTTTCAGAGCACTAATTGATAGACAGATTGCAAGCCAGGAAAAAGCATGAAACCCTTGTTGTTCATTGACTTCTAATTTTGAACTTTCTATTACTGCTAGTATTTTGACTTACTGGTTTGTTTATCAATACAAAACAAGCTTTTGCTTCAAATGCTACTACAACTAATTTTATGTTTGATTACCTCTTAAAATCCTCTGCATTGAACAGCTTATGGCAGGGGTTCAAGGAATCTTTACACAGCAACTCCGATGCAAGACTTCTCTGACCAGGTAAATGTTATTTTACAGTAATTGGTTTGTCTATGATTGGTTTTTTATTTTGAACTGTGTTTTTCCTGGTAAGGAAAGTTCAGCCTAACATTGTTGCTAGTTATAGGAGCTGATGTTTTGACAACCTGAGCAGTCTTCATCATAGATACGCTATGACTAATTTTGTGTCAGGCTGTCAAGACATCAGCCATTATGAGTGGCACTTCTAAAAGTCCTTTACAGAGCTGCCCATCCTCTTACAATCAAGCAATCAGGTGCCATGTTGTTTTTCACAGGGAAAGCCAAGTCTGGTCTATCCTGAGTTTTTTAAAGCCAGGGTTCATAGCATTGACATAGAGGATAGTAGTCATGGCTGCTTGGAAATATGAAACTGCTCATCAAGTGAAATATTTTTCAAAAGGAGAAGAGAAATTTTGTATCTCCCAGCAGCCATGTAATATTCCATTTTCATATAAATGCTATTGAAGTTTTTTTTCACGTGTAAAGATAACTTTCTATTTTGACATGTAGAGATATTACCTTTTAGCATGAAAGCTCAACTGGTACTTCTTTGGTGTCTATAAACTAAAAATGCATATTACTTGATTTTATCTGCGTGTACTCACTTTGAATCTGTGTAAAGAAAGGTGCAATTCTTTATCATTCAATTGTGTTGACATTTGTCGCGTATGAATAGTATCTTTCAAGTGGGCAGTTTCGGTGTGGTTGTACTCTCAGCTGGACCTTGCTACGGGAACTTGAGTTGAAAATAACTTGTGTCTGTCACCCCAGGACATAAAATACTTTGATTGATTTGGTCCTAAGTTTTTATGAGGGTTGCATCTTATGAATTTATTGGGGGCATTCTTGATTGATATTTTGTATCTTTTTCTTCACCAGCGGCCTATTTTGACAGACTATGAGTAAACAGTACTCAAGAAGCAAAGGAAACCAAGAATTCTTAGTTGTAGAATCCTTTATTTTCACTATCTTGGTGAAAATATGTAAGGTGTTTCTTATGTTCTTCTTGAACGAATTTAGAGTTTCTATCGTTCTTAGGTGTCTTGGTAACTTCGACCAGATGAGAGGTCCCATATATTTAATAGAATTCCTACCAAATCTTACAGTTTCGATTCTTGGCAGTTCGAAGTCACTGTTCCGTACATTATACTGAGGGTTCTTTATATTAAATAAGTCAGAAATATTCTCAGGTACGAGACTGTGCTTAATTGTGCAGGCTGCTTAAATTATTCTTACGACGCGCAAAGCTGCATTGTGGCTGAAATCGGTATTCTTTTGGGATCGCTCATTTGTTTCTTCGGTAAGTGACTTGAAATTAGACGAGAAATAACTTTGTTAAATAAATCTGGAAAAAATGTTTAAACAGTCTTTGTGGAAATTCAAGAACTCACCACCCCACCTCCCCTCTTACATGTGTAACGTTCGTGGGATCTAAATGTTTTCAACTTATTACTCATTGAGCAGAGAGAATAAATTTGACGCTCTTTGGAGTCTGGGTAGGAGCGGATAGTGTGCCACAGGACTCTCCGAGACGAACAGCTGTTTCTTTGAACGAAGTTCTTTCCGCCGTACATCTGAGCGCTTGTTTTATTCGAATTCGTCAAGGTACTCAAAATGTATTTTGCAGCATATTCTCCCACCTTGTGGACGACAGCCCTGGAACCAGACGCTGGTAACAGCAGGCTGCTTAATTCTTACGACGCGCAAAGCTGCATTGTGGCTGTTATCGGTATACTTTTGGCATCCCTCATTTGTTTCTTCGGTAAGTGACCTGAAATTAGACAAGGGACATTTAGGAAAAAACTTTATGGCTATGAGTGTAAAATTAAATGAAAAAGTTTGATATATGATGTATTCTAATTAACGCCGGATAATATTTGGCCTATAGTGATGAATATCTTTCTCCTTCGTTTGTAAGTTGAAAAACCTGTTTCTTCCTTCCATAGTGTAAAATAGTCCACCTTCAAATCTCAAGTTTCGCTTTCCGTTTCGCGTTACTTTTCGCCGAAGGAAAAAAAAATTCTTGTGAGCCTGGACTACCCAGGGATAAGAAAGGCGAGGTTTCAGTAAATGGAAATAGGTCTACCTGAATCACGACACCCTCAGCAAACGCTGACTCTCCTATTGAGGCCATGTGTTTTTTACTCACAACCCTGACCTGGAAAAAGGGGTAAAAAATGTTTCGATAAAACCTGCTTTAAGGCCTGACTCACCCTCCTAAAGAAACTGGGTTCTTTTGACGATTTCCCAGCCTGCCTTTTACCTTACGTGACCACTGTTATCCCCGTTTTGCGAGAAATGTGTCAGAGACAATACTGTGACGTGTTGACGGAGCAGCGTTACAGTTATCCTGAAATTTTTCTCTTCCTTTTCTCTCTATTTCTTCCTTGAATGAGAAAGACCTCCCTTTCGTTAAACGTGAGCTCACTGATCAGCCAATTAGCGTGCTCCTTCTGTCTATACTCACATAAGTATCATTAACCAATCAACTGTTGCACGCCTATATTAAATTAACTTTTTTTGGTTTGTGATCTTTTTTAGCCGAGATTTTGTTCCAATCTTGGTCTTCCACCTGACGTACAAAAGGCTGCTACACATATCGCGCGGAGGGTAGTTGACTTAGATTTAGTGCCGAGATAAGTTTTTTACTTCATTCAGTATCGCTGACTCAACGTTCGTTTATAATTCGTTCAGATTGATGGTAGGAAAAGATGTGATCTTTTTCCGCAGAGTTATAGACTATGCGTTTTAAGTCTTCGAGTGACAAAAAAGAGTATCGTAATGGGATATGAATTAAGGAGATTATTTTCCGAGCCTGAGATTGAAATCAATAATCTTCATTTTCTTTGTGGTTTGCTAAGGATGCAATGTAAGAAGTGATACGGTCTACACGGTTAAACCAGGTTTTATTCGTTAATTTCATGTTTTATTTTTAGCATACCCTAAAAAGGGTTATGAGTATCGTTACTTTTTTCTACCAATTATTTTTCTTTTATTTTATTTCCTGTGAGTCGAAGTCCCATTTCGGTGGCAGTTGCTGCAATATACATGGCGTCTCAAGCATCAGACGAAAACAGATCACAGAATGGTCACGGTTTGAATGCTTTACTTGCTATTTATACCTCTTTATTCATCTTTCAGGGCTAAGCCGCACGGAAAACGAAATTGTAGGGGTAACCTGCCATCTGCAAGTTTCTTGTATGCTTGGGAGCGGCATTTTTCTTCGCGGATAAAACGCTTTTTGATTGGATGTCGTAAACCAAATTGACATCAAAGGCCAATCAGAGGGAAAGAACGTATCGCGAGGAACCAATCAGAACTCAAAGTAGATACACGTAACCAGCAGCAAAAACGCGGGAAAATGTCGCTAGTGACAGTGTCGTCCAGGTTTCGCGCATGGTTGATCAAGAGTAATGTGAGTTTTCTAGATCAGTTACAAATCATAGTTAAGTAGAACTAGCGATAAAGCCGGACATCCAATCGAAAATACTTCTAACATACAATGTCGGTTGTCGCCCATTTCATTTGCACTGAAAGAAAATGATAGAGGCAAACCTGTTGAAATCAGTGCAGCTTCTCTGGCATCCTACACGATATGTTGGCTCTGACATGGAAGTAGCAGACGTTACAATTCGTCAGTCGTACAGACTAATCTATCTACGTGCAGCAGAACTTTTTCCGAGTGACTTCCAGTTTACTACTCCCGTGGAAAAACTTCCAAACCTCTGATCTTTGTTACCTCTTTCCCTTGTTTTTAATGTTTAGATATTATTCATTTAAGTAATAATTCTTTGGATTGTTAAAAAAATGCACATTTGTAAAAATTTAGTCAATTCTATCGTTCAAAAAGTTAAGTGAATCAAGTAAAAAATAATTTACTACATGAAATGACTTGGTAGTGAGCGTAGCAGTTGCTTTCAGGGGTTACTAAAAGTAGCCCCAGGCAAGGCTTCTTTTGCTTATTCTCACATGATTCATTTCAGTACTTGAGCGATATTTCAGGAAAAGAAGTACTTGTTACAAAGGAAAACGGCGAAATATTTTACTTATTCTCACATGATTCATTTCAGTACTTGATAGAGAATCAGTTTCAGCGTTAAATATAGACATGTATGTTTATGGGTATTTTTTTCATGGGTACTGAGTCTCGACTGGAATAAGGAAAATGCTCGAATTTTTAGAATCAAATGGGGTTAACACTAAAGAAATGTTTCGTTTAGTTAGCTATACTTTGAAAATGTTAATTTATTAATGCTGGTAGGGATGTTTTCGACGATCCGCTTTGAAATTGAGATCGCGTTTTGCACTGCACAGTTACCATCGAGAGTCAATATTCAACCAGCGTACATTTGTGTTGTGGAGGGTCTTCATAAAGACTATAAATAATAAAAATCCATTAAAACTTCTTTTAACTGAGTGTCGTAAATTGGTAGGGCGGGGCACGAATACATCCGTGTTTTTTGGAAGCAGTACATTCGTAAGTTGAAGTATTAGCCTCAAAGGGATAACTTAATGATGATGCCGCCTTCAAAGGAGGATGAGAAACTGGGCAATTAGGGGATTAGGCCATTAGAAGAAAGGAAATATGGTGGGCAGGAACTAATGAGTACTAGATGAGGCGAAATATTCTTTATCTATGTATTTTTCGACACATTATGGCTGAAGCAAATTTCTCCAAGTCCGTAGGAGAGCTGGAAAAACGAGAGACCTTGAGAATAAGATGAGTTGATGCAAAAGGTGGACGCAAAAAGTAACAAAATCTCTTCATTTACCTACATTTTGCACGAAGTAAAATATTTCAGCTTGCTGCATTTGCCAAATCAACCGCCCCAGTCAGATGTGTTTGCTGACCCATCGGTGTTTTTTTGTTGTTGTTGTTTCTTTACATATCTCAATTTTATTACACTACAAATAGATGGGTGAAGAGAAGGTCAGCCTAAACACATGAATTACTCTTTTTTAAGTCCTAGCTTTTATCCTTATCACTTCACACAATTAAGAAACACATGAGGCCTTGTGTAACTTATGTTGGTAGAGTAAACGCCACACCTCTTGCAGACACCCTACATAAATAGGTATTTTGAAAGACGTAAAACCCGCTGCCGATTGAAGTACGTCCGTCTACTTTTGGCCTCTTTAAGATCATAAGATGGAGATGGTAATCGGTCCATTAAAGAAAACGTTCACAGATTACATTTCATTAAATTAAATAATGAAAAAAATTATTAAAATCACCTGACTAAGGTATTTGACACCCTCAGGAGATAGCTATGGCGAGTCTCGACTTAACCCAATGGTTAGGGTTGGGGTTGCAGAAATCCATAGACCTTTTCCCAGTATTTTGATGTTAGGGCTACAGTCTAGGGTTAGGGTTACAGTTGGGTTAGGGTTTGAGCAACCACAAGTTAAGTGACAAGCATTCTCATTGCCCTCCAGCACCCTGGGGCAAGTAGTCAGACGGCACTGGTCTTGCTGAGCCCAAAACATTTTGCACTAACCTGATAATTAAAAATCTGTTACCTGAACTTTGTGTTCTGATGCCAAATTGAGCCCTGCAAGGCTTTTCACAACTACCCTCCGCTATTAAATCCCTATTCTTTAGTAAGATTCACACAAAACTTTCTGGTTTTACTAAGATCATAACTAGTTAAAAGCTTGCATAGTTAGAGATATGAAAATAGCAAGATAGTGAGAAAAGGAAGATTTGATTAATTGATTCCTAAGCCTTCCATTATGCCTTAAATTTAAGATGGCGGTCAATTTGTGGACTGTATCGAATTGTGACAATCATACAGCTAGCATGATCGAAATACATTAAGATGTGTACAACTAAACGATTTACCATCTTTATAAAGTATTTTATCTGACCAATACATGGCTTTTAGGGGTACTCCAATTAGGTACTCCATAGGGTACTCCGGTACTCCATGGAGTAAGGCTCCGCGTTTTGTCATCTCCCCACGCGGAGAGTGTCTTTTGAATCTTGGAAGTAATAT